ACATGGTTGGGACGTCGGCAACCTCGCTCCGATGCTCCGGTTCCACCGTGAAACGAAATCGGCGTTCATGGTTAACCCTTACACGTATTACGGGTACTCACCGGCGAATCCGAACTTCTATCTCTTCAAACCTAACAAAGGATTATTCGATAAAGTCACCGGAAAACGGTATTGTTTCTTCTTTTCTCCTAATTATATCGAGCATTCAGATTTCGATTTAATCGATTGTTTGAATTATGGTAATGAAGGTACACCAATCAGTTCGATTTACTAATGGACGCTGTGTACGTTTCTATGAAGAAACTTGGGTACCCAGATGTTGATATTATAGTGGCGGAGACAGGGTGGCCGTCGGGTGGAGACCCGCAAAACACCCACGCGAATCCGTGGAATGCGGCGGCGTATAACGGTGGGGTTATAAAGAAAGTCGACTCCGGCGTCGGAACTCCATTGATGCCTGGACGGAAGTTCGAAACCTACATTTTTTCGTTGTTCAATGAGAATCTAAAAGGGCCATCGTTGGATGAGAAGAATTTCGGGTTGTTTCGACCCGATTTCACTCAAGTTTATGACATCGGAATTAGACACGAATCACAGGTAATACCTTTTAGGCTTTAAAGAAACGTCGACAGTGATGCCGGAATATATATAGGACGATAAAAAGAAGAATAAGTACTATCTAGCCGTGCAATTATATGACATGCCCCTGATTTAAAGAAAAACTATTTTATTTTTATGTTTATTTTTCTAAAAGTAAAATTTATTAAAGTACTTTTTGTAAAGCTTTATATTTAAACATATCTCTTTTGAATATTTGTGACATTTTACGAATTTGTTTTAATTTTGTGAATTACTTCACCTTACGATTTGTTTTGCTGGAAAGACAAATTTAACGAAACAATTTTTTTCATGATTTTATAGTTGAGATCGTTTATAAATCATTTTGCGGAAAATTAACAAACTATATTTTGCAATGTGAAAAAATTGGATGATTATTTTGTTACTATAAGACATCACTAGATTCAAGGATTATAACAAAAACGAGAGACACTATTATGGAAGATTGAGGTAAATAACCAAACAAACATTTACTGATTTACCAAAATGACGATTATCCGAAATGGGCTTTTTCAGATTTGGATGGTATATAATGGGTATTTGCCTTTCTCATTTTGCGTAAAATACTTTACAATTTTTTTTTTATTTCTTCTCCTTAAATAGGAAGTGTTTTGTTCGACTGTTTTCAACTAAATAGCACCGTTTTATTGTATTCTATTTTGTTTACGCCATATCTATTTTATTCTTTTGTTAAATTTTAGTGAGGAACGGAACCTTTTCTTAAAGTTCTGGATGTATTTTTTGGATTTCGAAAATATTCTTTAAGTTTAAGAAAAATAATTTTTCCTTTTTGAATTCAAAATCCGAAATGTATTTTTTTGTTAGAAAATGTATATTTGATACAATATAAAGTCAGTTGGACATCGTAAAATTAGTTATAAATAAATAAAGTGACATTTTTAAAGGTCATTTTTGTAATTATTCCTGAATGTTATCATTTTCGTGATTATCATTTAAAAGATGGTATGTTTAACTTTAATTGTGCTCGATTTGTTTATTTTGTTTTTGGTAAAGATATCTTTATTAAATCATTTATAAAGTTACTTTTATTAAATAATTTATACTTTAAACAAGCAATGTCATTGTTGATTTAACATTTAAAACATATATTACAATAATTAATTCGTAACAATGGCTCGATTTAACTTGCCACTATCATCTACAAATATTTCTTACATTGCCATATATTATTTATGTTACAGTCAAAGACCCCATCACCAAAGCCATCAACACCAACACCAACACCAAGAGCACCAACATCATCTCAAGGCAAGAGTTGGTGTGTGCCTAAACCAGATGCGACTGATGTTGCACTTCAGTCCAACATCGATTACATTTGCAGTAATGGCATTGATTGTAGCCCCACACAGCCTGGTGGGGCTTGCTTTATGCCAAATACTATTCGAGCTCATGCATCATTCCTCATGAATTCTTATTATCAAGCCAATGGACGTCACAACTTTGATTGTGACTTTGCACACACCGGAGTCATAGCATCTTCTGATCCTAGTAAGTTCATCACACTTGATTCATGAAAGATTTGTTGATAATATTTCAACAATCTTAAGAAATTGCAATATTTTTTACATCATTGTTTCTTAAAATTAATGTTGATAGGCCCAAACAAATGAAACAAAAGCACACCATTGTTGATTTGGTTTTGAGTTTATGAACATTGTGTTTTAGAATGATTTAAAGGAGTGTGACATGCTATTTTTCAGGACACATTTGAGTAATCTTTTATCTTGTCATTTTTCAGGCAATGGTCCATGTAAATATATTTCTTAAGCTTGGACGGTGTGTGATGAACTCATGGAACTGTATGTAGGCAACCAGGATGAAATGAGGAACTATATTGGGTTCTTTTTGATAAGTTGGAAATTGTGGTAACATTTAATCTGTTGATATATGATTATATTTGTATCGAAGTGTATTACAGTGATATCTAATATGCATGCTTATTACTTTTAAATAGTTTGCTTGTGAGGTAATTAGCATAGTATTAGCACAACCTTAGGGACTAAGGATTTTATTGGCTTAATCTTTTTAACCCCTATATCTACTTTGAGCGAAATATTATTTACATAATATTTTTTACTCCTAGATTTAGGGACTAAGGGTGTTTATTGACATCACTCGAACACTGCAACATCAATCATAGATTTGGTCCGTATATGAGAGTCTTCTAGTTTGTCGACCATAACTCGAACACCGCAACTCTGGTTGAGTTGATTCAAAGCTTCGCGGAAAGAGGACTAAATTACCTATCATATATTGTGTATTACATTTTCCTAGTTTTGTACTAATTCTCCTTTAGCATTACGTCCAATGTTGAGAACATTGTCAAGAACGCTTCATTACGCTAAGTGTACTACAATCGTTTTTGTAATGACCCAAAAATCTCAAACTATGTGTTATAAGATGTAATTGGTTTAAATACATTCATGAGTGAACTCAAGAAGTGAAATGGTAATGTAATAGGTATATCCATATACAAATTACATTATATTTGAAAATCAATAAGTTTTTAGCAGGTGATTATCAAAAGAAAGTTGTATTTATCTGTGAGACACTTCTATGAATATAAAGTTTGACAAAATCGGAGTTTGTATGAGAAAGTTATGGCTAATCAAAGATTGAGGAAAATATTTCTGAAAACTGTGCATGGACATGGTGAGTCACTGATACACATTTCAACAGGAGAGGACACATGACATGAAGTTGTTTCTAGATGCGACATGTGGGTGTGACACGCCCATTAATTGTGCGGCACGCCTCCCCAATTACTCTCTCTCTCTCTCTCTCTCTCTCTATATATATATATAT